CAGAGCGAATAAAAAGAAAGAAAACTTGAAAATATTTTTGGTTGGCTTTCCGGTAGCACATTGGAAATTTCGGAAAAATATTTAAATTTTGCAATAATTTCCAAACTACCTACTAAAAAACTAAGTATATATTCGTGCAGCGGACTAAAATTAACCTTAATACGCTACTCGGGTTTTTTTTCTTTCTTTCGAAAATTCCTTTTTTTTTTAATTTTGTCTTTTAAGGACATTTAACTGCATCGGTACCGCAGTTTACAAAATTTTTCTTGTAATTTTCTCGAAAACCAATAATTACACCAAAAAAAGGTAGCATGATATATTTTGGTAACCTTGGTAATCACCTTTTTTTCTAACATTAGCAGTAACTATATTTTCATAAAAAAAGTAAGTGCGCCTGGGCTACCTTTTATTAGCAAGTTTTTCCGTTGCACCATTTCCGTGTGCAATTTCCGTTGAATTTGCNTAGGGTCCAGCATTATCACCACCAATAATCTCAGGCTGGAGATCAAGCGACGAATAACTCTTGTCAACAGGCGCTACCCTGGTCTCGGTCGGAAATTGAAAAGATATCATAAAAAAGAAAAAATTATACAGAATTATAACAGAATAAAGTTTTTGGTGCTTAAGGACGAATGGGTATAGAAAATGTCCTTTACAAACTTTGTTCCTAAATATCCTTGAAAATTTGTCATATTTGTTTTGTTTTTTTGAAAAAATTACTGTTTGAGGGCTAATATACGCACGACCTCATCATCGAATTTCGTCCTGCAAAGTTAATTAACTTAAAAAGATAAAATTATTAAAAGCACATTTTCAATATTGATTCGTCCTTTTAAACCAAAAAACTTCATTGTTTTTAAATTTTACAGAATTTTTTCTCTCATTTGGTACCGATATTGTTATTCTACATTGCACTGATTTTTTTAAATAATTTTTTTAATTTACCATAACTTTAAAATTTCAAAAAAAAACCTAAGTCAAAGTAAAAAAATAAAAACGCAGTTTTACTATATTTGGCCCATAGTTTCGTGAGTACACGGATTCTTACGTGCGTTTTGATTTTTTTTTTGTCGCACGGTGTAATCAACTGCTTTAAATATATATATGTAAATCATATTTCCTTCGGATACTCGGAAAAGCTAGCATAATTGCAGACTAAAATTTTTTTTTATCAATCTTAATGTTGTGTCAAATTCTTACTTCCATTAACTGCTGCCCGCCTTTGTTATCACAGCGTGTCTCCCGAAGATCATCATCATGATCGTCACAATTGTGTCGTCCATACACTTGACACGGAGAATTCATGAAGGTTCTAAATACAGTGTCGGTCCATGTTTGCGATGAGCAAATATACTGTCGCCGTTTGCGTTGCCAAAATTCGACCCATCTAGAAGGTAAATGAGAATACGTATAATTTAATTTAATTTATAAATCAATAAGGCTTGTACACACCCTAAATCACAATCGCAATTCAAATCTGTATCGGACATTTTAAGATCGGTGAGAAAGACACTATTCGGCAAATAGGGCACATTGCCCGTATTTGGATTGGGTATCTTTTTCAGCATACGATTATTATAGCGTATATCCAGTGAGATATTGCGTACGCGTCCCATATTTTTAAAGAAATTGGCTGGTATCTCTTTCAGTGTAGTGTTGAAGAATTGCATGTACAAGTAAGGCGAACGCATACCCTGCAAATAAAAAATACTGGAGGGTTAATTAACTAAGAAACTAACAGCCAATTTCACGAAAGCAACTTAAGTGGAAAATAATTTCAA